CTGCTTCGCCAGCGCCGAGAAGTCCAGGCGGGCCGTCTCGTCGCCGGCGTCGATCCCTCGCTGCCTCTCGCGGCGAGCGGCCCCCTGCCGCTTCGCGAACACCTCGGCCGCGCTGTCCTCCTCGACCTTGAACGCCAGCGCGCCGTTGCTCGGGCCTATGACCACCGCGTCCTTGACCGGGGCGAGCAGATCCGCGAAACCCTCCGCCCCGTCGCGCTTGGCCATCAGGCCCCTCTTGAAGTACTTGTTGCAGTAGTTAAGGCCGAGGCTTTCGCGGATCCCGGGGCGCCCCGGGCCCCCCGCGCCCCTCGCGCAAGGGGCGGCCACGAGGAAGGGCTCGCAGCGCAGCGCGTGCAGCGCCCAATCCTCGAAGGCGAAGAGCTTGTGGATGATCGCGCCGTCGCCGCTGTCATGGGCGTTTGCCACCCCGAAAACATCCGCCGCTGGGGGCTTGTCGCCCTTCTTCTCGGCCGCGCCCTCCTTCTTCTTCGTCGTCTCATGGATTCAACGTCGAGCTTATCAAGAGCCTCCTCGGTTGTAGCGAACCATTCTCCAGGCTCGAGGTCGCCGATGCGAGCGGTGATCTTCGCCTTCGCAACGCAGTCCTTCACAAGCTGATTGCTGGCCTTCTCGCCGGGCCACTCGAAATTAACCTCGTCGAAGCCCGGCCTTGGTAGGGATCGAACACAGGCCGAATGCCTTGGACATTTCGCTGGGGGAAAAGTCGCTTGCCCAAGTAGCATTGAAACACTTCGCCTTCTCCTCGTCGCTGAGCTCTGCCGCGGGCATCGGCTCGCCCTCCTCGTCCACCTCCTCAACCTTGGCTTTTCCCCTCCTTAGCCTTGTGCTCCTCTTCCTTCGCGCCCTCCTCTTTCGGCCCCTCCTTTGCCTCGTCCTTCGCCTCGTCTTGCGCCTCATCCTTGCCCTTGGCCATCGCGGCCTCTGCCGCCTTCCTGGCCGCGGCCTCTTCGGCCTTCCTCGCCATCGCCTCCTCGTTAATTGTCTTATTGTCCGCGAGCTCGTTCTGCAAATTACCTGCTAGTGTTTGCGATTCCACTCTCCTTCGAGCTTCGCCTGCTTCTGCTCGAGCATGGTATTGTGCGCCTTCTCGATGAACACCTTCGGATGCTTGCCAAAGATCACCGGGGCGACCTTGGTCAACTTGTCAGATCTGAACTTCGCCCAGTTCGCCGTCCGGTCCCCCGCGCACAGGTTCTGCTTCACCTCCATGACTGCGTAGTCGCGGGGCACGCAGGGGGCGACGGAGTGGGTCACGCGGGAGGCGCTACCGTCGTCGAGGAAGGCCAGCCTGGTGTTGAAGCGGGGGTTGTGGTTCAAGCCCGACCAGCCCTTGCTCTTCCACACCCCGCTCTTGACGGCCCACTCATTCACCTTGCGGTCGATGAGCTATGTAAAGGACTTGTCCTCAAGCCAACCGTCGGGCCAGTCGAACGTGCCCTGGTCCGGCAGGCTCACCGGGAAGGCGACGGTGCCTTTGCCCGCGGGGGCGGCAACCTCCACGGTGTCGGGATCCGCTGCGTCCTGCACCACCCTGCCTGTGAAGGGCAGCGCCGCCATCTACGCCTTCCCAAAGTTCATCTGCACGAACACGTTGCGGAACGAAACGTGGGGGAAGAGCGCCTTGCCCTTGATATCGTCCGGGAGCGGCATCGGGTCGCTCACGCGCACGCCGGCCCTGAAGAGGCTCACAAGGTTGGCATTCTGGATCTTGGGATCCAAGTTAATGAGCACGACAACGGCCATGTCACGGCCGAAGTTGTCCAGCGACTTGTTCGTTCTCGTGGTGCCCGACCAGAAGGTGCCGTCCGCGTCGAAAGCCACGCACCCATCAGCGTCGCCGAGGAGGAGCGGCGACTCTGCCGTGGAGAAGCCCATGCGCTCGAGCTGTTTCGGCTGCTGGGTCCGCTGTTTCGCCTTGCCATCGTCGACGAGCAAGCAGCTCGAGCACCTGCACCTCGAACGTGTAACGGCCGGCCTTCAGCCCACGTTGGCGCGGGCGCCGCCGACGAGGTATTGCATTCCGCCGTCGGACAGGAACATCAGCACCTTGCCTCCCATGGTGGGCACCACGTTGAGCGAATAGCCAGTCGGGTCGAAACCACCCTGCCTTGTCAAGCCCGGGCGCTTATCCGGCGCGGCGTCCTGCTCCTTCTCCTTCGGCCCCACTGGCTCGACCTTCTCCTCCTCGCCCATCGCCTTCTTAGCGGGTGGTTCCGCGGCCTTGGGTTTCTTTTCCGCGGCCTTTTGTTTCTTCATGTCCTTCTTCGGTCTTCGGGGCCATGGTATCCCTCTGTTGTTGCTGCGAAACCTTCTAGAAACACGGCCTTCCCGCGCAGCCCGCGCCTGGTAAACATTAGTTTAAGCCAAGTGGCAACGAATGCGCCCGCCGACGTCTTGAGAAGAGAGAGGGGTGGAGGAGGAGGAGATGGGAAAAGAAGAAAGAGGAGGAGAAACACGAGGAGGATAATGAGGAGGAATTGGGGGAGGAGGAGGAAGGAGAGGAGAAGAGAGGAGGAGGAGAAGAGAGGAGGGAGGAGAAAGGAGAGAGGCGAAAGGAGAGGGAGCGAGAAATGAGGAGGAGGAGGAGGAGGAGGAGGAGGAGGGATAGGAGGATGATGAGGAGGAAAGAGGAGAAGAGGAGAGAGGAGAAGAAAGGAACAACTAGAAGGAGAAAGAAAAAAGGAGGATAACGGAGAAAGAGTGCGGAGAGAGGAGGAGGACGAGGAGGAGGAAGAGAAGGACCACTGTAAACCCACGACGCATCAACGATGCTAGAATGAACCCTCCCCCAGGTTCCCTCTGAAAGCCCCGGCAAGGATTCATTTCCACTGAAGGAAGTGTCCCGTCTGGAGACAGCCGTTTGAGCATCCTGCAGCGTGCCAGAAACAACACTTTCGGGACTGATCCTGAGTCTTGACGACCCTGAACAGCGGCTGGATACCATTCCTGGGGCTTCGTTACCGCGAATCAACAGAACTGTTGCGCCTTGACAATCCTGAACCGTTCCAAAACACAGTCTCTGGTACTGGTACGCTAAGCATGGGAAGCCTGGCAACCCTTGCAACTTGGAAAGAAAAACAAATATGCGCGGCGATACGGCGAGAACCACACTTTGAAAACGAACCGCCATCATAAATGTACCTTTTGCTTTGTAAAAGCAACTGCGCACGTCGCTAAGGCGAGAGTCACAATTTGCAAACGAACCGCCCTCCATCCGTGAAGCCCTTTGTGCAATTGTTTAAATAAATGCGCGCGGCTCCAAGGAGAAGGAAGAGGAGGATCACCAGTGCAAACCCAAGGGGTAGCAACGATGTTGGAATGAACCCTTCCTCCAATCTCCCCCTGCATGGGCCCCTACAACGGTTCATCTCCATTGAGGATACTGCCCCATTCGAAGACAGCCGATGGAAGACCCTGAAGCGTGCCAAAACATTGTTCTCGGGATTCCAACGCCACGGATCAACCGAACGATCTTGAATCGCGTCAAAACGCCATTCCAAGGACTTCAGCACCGCGCATCAACGTAACTGTTGCACCCTCACAATCCCGAGCCGTTCCCGGACATCACTTCTATTGCACTGATCATGGGAATCCGAGAAACTCGTGCAACGTTTGAAACGAATGTGCGCGGCGCTAAAGTGATAACCACATTTCGAAAAAGTGCCGCCCTCAATCCGTGAAACTTTTGCAAATGTTTACCACGAATACGCACGGCGCTAAGGCGAGAACCACATTTTGAACACGACCCGCCCTCAATTCGTGAAACTCTTGAAAATGTTGACAACGAATGTGCGCGGCGCTAACGCGGGCACCACATTTTGAACACGACCCGCCCTCAATCCGTGAAGCTCTTGCTAATGTTCAAAACGAATGTGCGCGGCGCGAAGGCGAGAACCAAATGTTGAACACGAGCCACCCTCAATCCGATAAGCTCTTGCAAATGGTTAAAACGAATGTGCGCGGCGCTGAGGCGATAACCACATTTTGAAAACGACCCGCATTCAATACGCGAAAATCTTGCAAGTTGTGACAACGAATGTGCGCGACGCTACGGCGAGAGCCACATTTTGAAAACCACCCACCCTCCATCTGTGGATCCGGTTGTCAGGTTTTAGATTTCACTGTCACACATGGTGATAAATTATCAAGCCAAGCGCCCAGCCCGCCCTAAAAACTGGCCTCGGGTTGCGACAGGGCGAAGTTGCTTTTAAGGAAAGGGAATGGAGGAGGAGGAGGAGGAGAAGGGAGGAAGAGACAGGACAAAGGAGATGAATGATGATGATGAGGAGGACGAGATGTAAAAGGAGGAGCAGGAGGCGGAGGAGGAGGACGAGGACCATATGAGCAGAGATGCCTGATACAGACCGCCCTGGCCATGTCAAGAGAAGATGAAGGCCAGACTCTGAGGAGGTACATCAGGCACGAGCAGGGGCTAGTAGCCTGCGACTCGCTTCACCGCCGACCACACACCGCAAAGCCATGGTGCACCCGTGGGGGGCCCGCGGACCAATCGCCAACGGGGGTTGGACATCTGGCACAATTCACCTGCAACGGTTTCCAACCGTTTGCTCCAAGAGCTGCAGGGCCATGAAGCGGAAACGGCCGACGGGCACGCGCAAACAGGCTCCCACTGGGAGTACGAACGAAGCTTCCAACCTGGGGATCGACGATGGGGGTGGACCCGAAGGTCCCATGGAGCTGACGCTGCACATGACACCGCCACTCTGCGGAAATGCGGGATCTGCATGCAGCTGTCGCTGCAGCAGTGGGCCATGGTTCACACTGCACTGCGTGCAGAAACAGGGGGCCGAACTCATCCCTTTCCGCTTGAACAAGCCGCCGCCTCCCTGCACCTGCGTATCGTGCCCAACGTTCTTGCCAGTATGCCCCAGCTCAAATGTGGCACTGGCATTAATGCAGGGGGAGGAAGAGAGGGGGGAACCCTTCCCTTCCCCCCCTCTCCTCTCCCCCCCCGAAGCAAATCCTGCCAGTGCAGATCCCGCTTGCAACTTTCCTCGCCCTCGAAATACGCCCGCATGGCGAGCTTCGAGAAGATCTCCAGGGACCCGAACCTCGGAGCACAGCCGATCGGCTTCCTCAGGCCGCTGGCGACTACGAGGGCGAAAACAAATACAACAACACATACACATACGTACAGACATACATGTGTATATATGTACGAGGTGTAAACGTATACGTGTGTATGTACATAAACACAATCATATGTATGTGTTTCTCTCTCTCTCTCTCTCTCTCGATATATATATATATATGTGTGTGTGTGTGTAGATCTAGACGCTGTAATCTTGACGGCAGCGCTGCCCGGAAGGGCGAGAGCGGGAGACACGAGGGCTCGGTATACAGGGTCCCAGATTTGGCCAAAGTCGGCGCTTCCCCCCAAAGCCCCAACCACGACATCCCGTATGTGACCTCACGACATTCCGGCTGGCGTCCATTTTAATATATTTTGAAAAGGCCAGCAACCCCAGGAAGAGCGCACCCCCCCTGACCCCCCCCCCAAAAAAAAATCGAATCCTCGGGCCTGTCTTGCGCCTTGGGTTTTCTCTGATGTTCGACACTCCAGGCCCTCTTGGGCCAGCCTTAAGCCTCTTTGGGGCTCGTCTGGGGGTTCATTTCGAACAGTCCTGGGCTATCTCGACGCTTCAAGAGCCGATCGCAAGCGAAAAGCCGAGAAGACCAAAAACATTGTTCCCCCAATGGGTTTTCATTGATTTTCAATTCTCTGGGCATTCTTCGGCCAGCCTTGGGCCTCTTTGGGGCTCGTCTGGGGAATCATTTGGAGCCGTCCTGGGGCTATCGTGACGCCTCAAGAGCCGATCGTACGCAAAAAGGCGAGAAGACCAAAAACATCGATTTCCCAAAGGGTTTTCATTGAATTTCAATTATTTGGGCCTTCTTCGGCCAGCCATGGGCCTCTGTGGGCCTCGGTTTGCACCTCTCTGGAGCCATCCTGGGGCTATCTTGACGCCTCCCGAATCGACCGGAAGCGAAAAGGCGAGAAGACCGAAAACATTGTTTTTCTCAATCGTGTTTTTGTTGAATTGATTTTCGAAGCTCCGGGCCGTCTAGGGTCAGTATGTGCCCTCTTCGGGGCTCGCTTGGGGACTCATTTGGAGCCGTCCTGGGCCTATCTTGATGCCTCAAGAGCCAATCGGAAGCGACAAGGCGAGAAGACCGAAAACATTGATATTCCGATTGGTTGTCACGGATATTCAATTCATTTGGCCCTGTTCGGCCAGCCTTAGGCCTCTTTGGGGCTCGGCTTACGCCTCTCTGAGGCCATCATGCGGTCATCTTGACGCCTCTCGAGCCGACCGGAAAGGAAAAGCGAGGAGGCCGAACGCATTGCTTGTCCAACAGGTTTGCTCTGATTTCCGACTCTCCTGGCCCTGTTGCGCCTCGCGGAGGGCGCGGCAAACCCTGAGCCGCTGGGCCTGATTCTGCGGGCGGCGGCGGCGGGGGTCGCGGCCCCCCTGCCCTTGCCCCACTCCGCCGGCGTCGTAGTCGCCCTCGCGCCCGCGCCGACTCTGCCCGGCGGCGTCGGCAGCGGCCGCCTGCCCGTCGGGGCGTCCGAGAGCGACGGCGCCGCCGAAGAGGGGCCCTTAGAGGGCCTCGCCCCGCGCGTCTCGCCCGCGAGCTGGCTCTCTGCACTCGCGCCGCGGGTGGCCCTGCGCGAAGCAGAGGACGCATGGGCTAATGAAGCGGCACGTATTTCCTCGGGTCGCGCTTGGCCCTCCTGGAGTTGCACCTGGAGAAAATCCCCCCGCCGCCCAACTCCTGCGAGGCGGGCCCCCACCCCCAGCCCAATGCATTGCCATCTCCTCTGCGCGCCCCGCCCGCGCGCGCCCGGCTCGGCGGGCTGGGCCCCCGCCGCTGCGACCGCTGCTGCAGCGGCTGCGGCTGGGGGCAGGCCACCGCGCTAGCGAGTGCCAGCGGGGGCGCGAAGTGCCGCTCCGCGACCGCCGAGTCGTCGGTCGCCCACCGGCGCGCCGTGGAACTGCGCGCGCTCTTGCTGCGCCGGCTGCCAGGCCCCCCACGCGCATCTGGCGCTCGCAATGCTGTGCCCGGTTCCAAGGCGGGCGCGCGGCCACGTCGCCTTGGGCCTTCAATTCCACGAGTTTCCTGATGTGCCCCCCCTAGTGGGCTGTCCAAATGACCCCCTAGTGGGCTGCGGGATCCCGCGGCGAAGCGCCTGCCTGCTCGCGCGGAACTGCCCGGGCATGATCTCGCCTGCGCCCAGGGGCGCCATTCACTTCCAGGGCGCGTTTTGGCCCTGCGGGGGTTCTACCTTGTTCGGCGCAATTTTCCTGAACTGCATCGCCCCTTGAACCAGAGCGGAATCGGGGGGTCGGGGTCCTCGCCCTCCTCGGCCGAGTAGGCCGACGTCAGCTCCGCCCTAATGCCCCTCCGCTCGATCTCTGTCTGACTGATCTCGAGTTGGGGCTCTGCCGGCGCCCGGCCCTCATCGAACTTCCAAACTGCCGCCCCAAAACTCAGCCGCATCGCCTGATGATCGGCGATGCGCAGTGGCTTGACTCCTGGCGCGCGCCGGCCTCGCCCCCCATCTTCTCGCCACCGCTCGATCCGAGCGCCTGCCGCGCGCGCGCGCCAGCGCCGCCATCTCCGCGCGAGGCCCTACCCCCGCCTCAGCCCCCAGTTCGAGCGAATTCTGGGCGAAAGCCCTGATGTCGTCGCTCGATTTCATCGCGTTGGCGAACTTCCCCACGCTCATCCCCGCGAAGGAATGCAGCGTCGCCTGCGCGCACAGCGGAACGCCCTCCTTCGCGAGGAGCAAGTGCAGGTCCGAGCTCGGCAGTTGGAGCGCGCGCCACTGCTCACCCCCCTGGAATCTCGGCGGCGCGCTGCCGGGGCGCCCCTCCAGCCGGATCGCGCGGGCGACGCCGAAGGCCAGGCGGGGCTGCGCCAGAGGCCCCGCGGGCCTCAATCCAAGCTGGTCGAAATGAACGGTTGCGGGCCGAGCGACGGCCCCCCTTGGCCCCCCGACGCGACGGCGCCCCCCTCCGCGGCCCCCCCCCCGCCCGCGGCGGGCGGGGGCCCGCGGGCGGGGCGGGCGTCGTCGAAGCGGGAGGCGCCCGCCGGCCGACGGGGTTTCGGGGCAGCCCCCCAGGCGAGCAGAAAGCCCCCCCCTGGGCGCGGCCCACCCCTGCCGCTCCAGTCATTCCTTGCGCGGGCACGAAAGCTGCGCCCAGCGCCCCGCCGGCGCGGACTCTGGCCTGATCGCGTCTGGGCGATGGCGGGGGGGGGGCCGCCCCGACGGGCCGCGCGGGGCCCGCGCGCTGCAGGCGCCCTCGCGGCTGCTCCGTCGGGTAGGGCGGGGCAGAAACTAGCGCGCCCCTGTCCTGGGGGGCCGCGCGGCACCCGCCGCCGCCGCGGCCTCCCCCCGCGACGGTCGGATCCGAGCCGTCGGAGTTGGCGGAACTGGACGAGCTGCCCGAATCGCCGTCCTCGCTCTCGTCGGCCACCTTCGCCGTCGCGGTCGAGATGAGGCGCCAGCGCACCTGGCCGACAACGTCGCAGCCTGTTGGGCCCGGCAAATCGAAGCATGTCGAGCGCGGCGGCGATCTCCCGTTCGCCCAGCCGCAGCCCCCGAACTTTCGGAGCCCGGCCACCTCGCGCTTCCTCGCGAACGCGATGAGGTAGCTGTCGGCCGGTCTCGCCAGCGCCCTTGTTCTGGGGGGGGGTTCAACGCCGCCGATCTGGACATTCGCCCTGCCACCCGCGTCAGCGGTGTCACGTGCGCGATCTCTCCTCGGCGCCCTTCGCGGGGGCGTCGCCGCCCCCGCCAATTGGTGCAGCGTCAGCCGGTTCCCCATCTTCAACAGCGGCCCCGGGATTGCTGCCCAGCCCGGCCCTCGCTGTCCTGGGGCGCCATGATCCATGGCCAACTCGCCAGCGCAGGTCCCGCGAGCAGCGAAGGACTCGGCCGCCGCGCCCGCCGCTTTCTGCACCTAGAAGTTCTTCCTCTACACCAGCATTTCCTGAAGTGGCCGCCGACTCGCCCAGCGCCACGCAGGACCTGGAGCCGCAGTTGCGGCGCGGCATGTCCTCGCGTAGGTGTCCGCCGACCTTCCGGCGACCGCCTGACCGGGCAATCGCGGTCATCGACCCGTCATATGGTTGACAGGATCTGCTCGGCCCGGAAAACCACGACCTCCTCGGATCCGAACTCGACCACCGCCCCAGTACAGGCCGCTGGCCTCAGCATCCTCCGAAGAACCTCCTGGCCCGCTGCGGATGCCTCGGCGCGCCTGGCAGGCATGTGGAAAAACACCAGCCCCGCGTCGCCGCACCGCAGCAGGAGCTAGCCCCTGTGACATCCTCGATATGCGGCCACAGGTCGGAACTCAACTGGATTCGCGCTGGGGCCCGCATGTAGCACGCTCGGTATACAGCTAGCGAATGCTCTGGCATCGTGCGCCCTGCTCCGCTGGTCCTTGTACGCCCCAGCGCTGCCGTCAGCCATGTGTCCACGAGGGTGAGACGCTGTGGCGGGAGCCAGCTGCGGTCGTCGTAAAGCAACACCGCCCACACCTTGACGAGGCGAGCCCACGCCACCCCGCGCAGGTACGGCGCGATGCCGTCGTCCATGACCAGCCGTTCTAAAGCTCCGATGAACGCGCTGGGGAAGCGTGCTGCCCTCGTCGACGGTCCCTTGCCCACACCGAAGAGCATCTCCACGTTCGCGAAGACCTGCCGCGTCTCCGGCCGGGCGGAGAGCCTGTCGTTCGCATCGATACCCGCGACCAGCTCCGTCCAAACCGCGCGCATGGTCTACTGTCTACTTGGGTACAGTCGGCCCGTCGGCCCGCACGGTTCTGCCGCTCTGGCGTGCACGTAAAAAAGAAGTGTACGATCGTCACGGGCCACGGGGCCCCGTGCGCGCGCAGAAGCCACCTGCGCATCGGTTTCACGGCTAGCACGTGCGACCTAACCGTGTTCATGCGCGCGGCCCGTGATGCCGCCCTTCGCCCGCTCACGGTCCATGCTGGCCTGCGCCGTCTCGAAGGGAGGCGCTCCCATCTCCTCGAGC